ATCAAAACACCTTCATGCCTAAGAGAGCATGTAAGGTCGGTCCAGCAACTGATCTACTTACGTTCGACGGTGTCGGATGATCCATTGACTTCCAAGTTATCTATACTGTCCTTTAAGCCGACCAAGGCTTGATAGGTACATAGGAGATATTATTGCAAGTGTGTGTGTGAATAGACACACCAGTGCACTCTCTCATATTTCGGTATTCTAATATATTCATCCAATGTCCAATACGACGCGACAGCAAGCGCAGGATGAACCGCTGCACATTCTTATAAGAAACATATCCGGCAAACTATAACGTTTATTCACCATTGAAACAGCCCTTATTTTTTTAAATATCCATTAACTCTTTGTCATAAGAGCTTAGAAGATTATAAATTAATATATATTTTGCGGCTACTGAGTACATTTGTATTCTTAATAGCATGAGAGCTTTATTTTATTGCTATGTATTTGACTAATAATACTCCGTAATTTTCAAATGAAATTACTTATCGATTACATTAAATAATTATTTTAGGATTTTTATTCAAAAAGCAAATTGTACTTTGAATAAAAACGAGTCATGCGTTACATTTATTTGAGCTATAATAGAAATATACGTGCGATTCCATATTTATTTTTTTCTAATAAAATTAAAGTTTACGCAGCATGCATTGCGTGTATTATTTTTCTTACTTTAGTTGGCCACCTATATTTTATGCAGATGTAAAAAACGGCATATGGTTATAACAATAAATTAAATACAATGAGAAGTATAATATATTCAAACGTGGGTAATAAGCGATTAGGATACATTTGAATTCCGCTTTGTTATAAAATATATGGTATCGTAAAACTAGACTAATTCTCTCCTACAATATTTTGAAATTTATTATATATGTATTTTTCGATCTACTCCCTGGTATTCTGTCCAGGGACTTTTGTCCATCTCTTACTAAAAAGATATATAAATCAATATCATACTCATTTCACCTTATATATAATTTTTTGTTAACGTTGCAGCCTATGTAATAATCATTGTTTATTCTATCTAAATTTTTCTCTACTTTTTAAGACCTTCTGTCGATCCGAAGTGTGGAGGACTGATGACCTGTAAACCAGGTACTCTTACCTATAGCCGGCATCAGTCTCACACAAACAAGCATTTTCCCTCAATAGAAGATAGAGAATTATTTATTTATAATAATATATATCTGTCACTTGTTTATTTACGAAGTTTTTGTGAGAAGAATGAATAAAGATTATTATTATTCGTGTTACGTCTTGCGAGATGCGCCCCGGCTATATCGGTAATATTTACTATATTCACGGTCGAACTGGGGCGCAATTGCTTGCGAGACCTTTGTGTCCTTTTTATTTATTTATATATTTCGTAATCCTACAGCTAACAATAATTATACATAATGACAAACAATTACACTAAACATATAGCCAGAGATGGAAAACATAATATTTACCAACGGAACAACGGTTCAAAAATTTAGAAAATGAAAGGAACAAAACAATTATTCAATACATTTAACTAAAAGATACCTAATTTTGCTGTGTTGTGTGATGATGAAAAAGTAAGGGGTAAGTACGTGAAGGTGTGTATGTGGGGTATGCTCATGATGGAGGTGATTTTGCGCTATGGATATTCTTAATACGTTAGCCAATGATAATATTCCCTATCATTAATTTACCTTCGCAACCCGACACAATTTTATTTCACTGAGGAGCCCAGCTTGTATTCATCGTGACACCAGAAAGCTATTCCAAGGGGACCATAATTCAATAGAAAAAACAAGGTTTCTTTGTGGTCTGTACGTGCTAGAGTACATAATTCCAGTTATAAGTCTGTGTTTATGAAAAACCGTATTGCATTGTAAGTGTTATTTTGTAAATAATTAATATAATTAGTTAGCAACGTCCTGTCACGCAATACAACTTGTAAATTAGTATTAAGCAAATAACAATAATACTCCAGACTGCACTGGCGCCTGGCGAACACTCATTATTTTCTATTAACTCAGAATTCTATTTATATACTTTTCCATTCGATTACTCCTAAACTTTAATATTGAAGTAAAATGAAACTCTACCGTATTTTGACAATTAACGTACTTACATACACAATAATTTAACATTTAATATTAAAAAAACTTAGCTTTTTGTTTTTTTTATTGTTATTTTACGTACTAAGAAAAATACATATAGGGTCAAAACCCCACAGAGGCTCATAATATCAATAGATGTGATAATTACTAACGATAAATAGATGTAATAAAATGAGCTATCTCCTGCCCTTACTCTTTAAACATTCAGGTCGGGGCTAACGTTTTACGACTGGCAAGTTCTTGGACCTCCTGAGATAAATATAATACTCCCGAAGGCTAGACAATATCTAGGCTCGTTTCAAAATAAGCTCGCTAACTTAGTACGAAGTAAATATAAATATATAAATGCAATATAAAGTAATCAAATTAAGTTGTTCATTACTTTCTCTTAGCGATACAATAATCACAATGACATTCAGTTACAAAAATATAATGTGAAAGTGCATTGCTCGAATAATCTGCACCTTTACTGCGCTAGCTGACGGCCTTTTCACCGCTATATAAGCATCTGATTGTTGTTGCCGTACTCTTAATTATTTGTTATTTGTAATCACATAGTTAAATTTCATGTGAGCAGCTGACACCCCATCCACGATACAGCTGCCGATTTTTTGATAACAACTATTTGTGGAATAAGTTTCAGACGGCAGACTATTACTTATTTTTTTACCTCTTTCGCAGCCCCCCACAGCCGCAGCCACCGCGGTTTGAGCAGCCGACGGTCTGTTCACTTATTAGTAATAAGATCAACTTTCGCTGTTAATATCAGCCGGCTTACTATGACTTTTGTATTTGCAACGCTACCTCCCGGACTATTAGTATAAAGTATAATCTATGCCATCCATTTGTGAATGAATCGAACACATGACCAAAACGGGTGAAATACAAAAGGTGGTAATTGAAATGTACAGTGTAAACTCTTTATAACGAATTCTAAGCGACAGATCATTTTTATTCGTTATAGAGAGATATCGTTATAGAGAGGGGTGTATGGGTATTGGGTTAAACTAAATAAATCAAACTCCTTTTTAAGTTATAGAGAGTTTTCCGTTATAACGAATAACGTTATAAAGAGTTCACCCTGTAATTGTAAAATCTGCGCCAACTTGAAAAGGTTGATTTTAGTAAATAATGAAAGGCGTATTTATAAGAGAATAAATGTATTAGAAAAGGTACTCACACATCATCAATACAGGAAAATGTGGGACTGTTTAAAGATATCACCGCTAATGTATTTTATTAGGATTTAATAATTTATGAACTTAAAAACTCAATGCATCACTTTGTAAAATTAAAACTTTATAAAAATGCACTCACGTAGATTGAGCGTGCCGTATAAACGAAGGGTGTGGAATGAGAATATAAAGTAATTTCCAACTGCCCCTCTATCCTAAAATATTACTCTTAGCTAAGGAAGAAACAGGCGTTTTCTATTTTTGGAAAGAACGTGGCAAATTTGGCAATATCTGAAACTTAAATCTAGTCTAATCTAGTTCGATAAATTATAATTTAGAATCTAATGCGAAAAAAATTATCACACACATCAGAGTAGCCAACATAATAAGTTTATTAATATAGATAAACTACTTATTATGTTTCGATTCCGATTTCTTGAAAACTTACCTATAAAATCTTATTTCTTTACATTAATAAAAGGCAAGGAGGTTTAGGTGTTTTAATTTGTTAATATATTTATTTTACTGTAGACTGGGAATTCCACCAAGATAACAGATTAATAAGAAGATTAACGTATAATCAAAAATCTACTACTTTGATAATGAGCTACGAACTAGACGTAATTTTAACCAAATCCAAATAAATCCACTGACATAATTAACTATAATTTATTGAGATAAGGTCACACCGGAGGTTGACCAAAAAATTCCATTAGGTTATGGTAGCATAATTTATAACTTTAGGAAATTACAACTCACTCGATAACGATTGTCACATGAGTTGATAAACGGAACCTTATTTTACAACCATGAAAAGAACCTGATGCTTGTTTATTTAATTAATTACTTATTAATTTAATAGCACCTAATTAAGTACCCAATTAAAAATAACGAATTTAAAACAATGGGTGACAAACATCGCCTATGTTTAACGTGGGAGATAATAAAAATGAAAAAATTTTTTTAAATTAATTGTGTCTATAGATTTAATTTAACACTACAAACTGTAGAAACGTTTGCATACTAAAGCAAGAAAACCGTGTATTTCACAAGGTTCATAAATCTATTGAAGTGTATCGTACAATCGAATTTCCGAGTCGGCACTTATTAGTGTAAAAACATTGGTCAGTGTAGCGGACTAAGTGACCGCACATGTTTGTATTATATGTGATCACCGTGAAACAAGGAAAAACAAGAAAATTTATACTTAGTGCCTATATTTGTATACGTGTCCGTTATTGTCTATAGGTACTGTTCTTCGTTACGTGCTCGCATGTAAATCGGAGCCTTCGATCAAGGTACCGTCCCCTTCAATCGCATAACTGGAAGTGAACAATGTCCATTCACAAAACGCTAAGTAGATCATCAAAAACCGCAACATTCATCTCGGCGGAGACACCCCACTCGAGACAAAACATAAAATTTCGACCACCGAGTGACATATTTTTAATGGACATTCAATCGTAAGGTTGTCGTGAGAAATCAACTTTGATAGTTGATCAACGCATCGCGATTTAATCAAACCACTGCATGTTTGTTGATTTAAGTTTGGAAAATCCGTAGATTCTGTTTACGATATAAATGTAATCATTTAAGCCTTAAGCAATTTGTTTATGTACATTGTAATTATAGAGGTTTTAAGACCTCCACAGGCTTGTTATAAAAAGACAAGTTAGTACATTTTGTTGTTAATTGGTAGGGCTGTGAGTATTGAATTGTTAACATGTGTGAAACCAGGAGGTCTGAAAGTTGTGATAGTGAGAAGAAATATGACTTGGTGCCACCGGAAGGCGGCTGGGGCTATGCAATTTGTATTGGGCTTTCTGTTATATTTGTAAGTACTATTTTATGTAAAAAACATATTAAAATTATATTCATGTGACGTGATAAATACGTAAATTTTAAATAATTTTATTATAAAATTTAATAAATAAATAAAATATACACATAAGTAATCAATATTTTGTATCGCCACTATTAAGATATATAAAACTTTGGTGACAAAATGGCATTTACTTATTATAAATTCCTTTCCTATTTACATTAATTTTACCATGCAAAGATTAAGAAATTTAAATATACAAAATGTTGTATTTGTTTAGGTAAACTAAAATAATAACAATATAGGAAAATTTATTGTTTATACATAATGCACGTAATAAGATACAGTAGGCCTATAATTATAACAACTCAGCGTTATAATGTCATTGTTTTTAAATATGCCTTAACGCATGAATTGTAATAATTTTGCTTAAATTGGCCTAAATTGTTTTACTTGTTAATACGAGAACACATAATTTTTGTAATTTTTGATAACATTTATTTTTGTCCCTTGCGAATATCCTTCATATTCGCTAAACTAACATGAATATTGAACACGTACAAAATTCCGAGCGTAAAAAACTATAAATATGACATTGAATTTTTACGGAACCAGCTTACATTTTTTTAAAACAAAATTAAGTTAGTAGAAGTTCATGGCCGGTCTTAATAATGAAGTAAATATGTAAATATCAGTGCATTTTTATTATATAACAGTGCGAAAATACGTTACAGGAAACGACCTATTTATACGATTTTAATATATTATTATATTAATTCGTATTGATTGACGATATTACTTTCCTTTATTGATAAATTATGTTAGAATATAACTTATAATGATAGGCAGATGGTAAAGTCTTGTCTCTCTAATTCTTGTTTTAGATTATTACTTTGTTTTTTTTTAAATATTTGGTTATCGTTATTATCATATTGTATTTTATTTAGATGTCATCCACATTTAAATAACCTTTTAAGTGGATATAAACACGAGTTTAAACTTATGTTTAAGTAAGGAAATATAAACGTCGATCTTTTATGGTACAAAAAAACTAAAAAATCAAACTTAACGATACAATAATTATGCACTTATTATATAAATTATAATACAAGTGTAGATCTAATAAATTGATGATTGACACGGCCTCATTATCTTGCACGGGCTACAGTAAAAAAACTAATAATGGTGATTTTAAATTTGAACGATGCAAAGATAAATTATATTACGTTTTATTAAGTAAACTAAAGGCAACATTTATATTCATAGGTTATCTAAAATTTTATTTTGTGTCTCTGGCTTCAATTATCTTTAATTTTATTATTATTATTATTTAAAATCCAAAATCTTGACTAAGCGACCAAAACTTATCTAAATTCCTCTCACATTCTCGCGTCAGTTATACTTGTTCTCATTCTCTAATACACTCGAAAAAGTAATGAAATTACTCCTTTTAGTCGTATAAAAGACTATCCAAGCAAGTATCGCTCCAAATGGGAAGGGTTAGAAAAATAAAAACAAAAGTTAATTATAACAGATTTCCATGTCAATTAAATGCATCTAGATTAAATAGTGATTGAGATGTAAATTATTGGACTGTAATAACTTTGATAATGTAATTCAATGCCTGTATCGTTCGATATTAATTATAAGCGACAGTTCCAATCAATAATTTTACAGATTTAACTGACCTGAATTGTGTTAAATATCTTTGGACGGTATATAATAACAACATATAGTTTAATGTAAGAAAAATGTATAATTAACAATTTAATTAAACTTATTAATTAAACTATAAAAGCGGTTAGGTGAATCATTAGAAAATTATAACATACAGATTTTTTTATTACCATGTAAATTATAAATCGCCTAAATTTCTTATAAGGTTATTTAACGTTCAATTATTTTTTTGGTTTAATTTAAATCGTCCCAGTATTTGAAATGTATATATTTACAAGTTTGCTACAACACGTTTAAAGAATTAAAAATTTAAAAAAATGATTTCGTCTTCATTGGAATCGGTATTGGTATACGGAATAGTAGGGCTGCTGCGTTGTGGCTTTGTGTGGTAATATGAATTAATTCGTAACAAGTTGAATTGTTACACATGAAAATTAGGTTCCACATCAAGTGTTTAATTGGAATAATCAATTATTCATTTCGCGTGGAGTATTTATGACTAGACTCTAATTGCAGCAATTGCAAGAATTATAATAATTAAACGTTTAAATCCTTTTAAAAACCTGATATTGAATACGTTTTTGCGCGTTAGTTTAAATTAATTCAGGAGATATTTTACAAGGTTATTTCTGTGTACATTTTCTTACGTCTCCAAACTGGAATTTGGAATATCTAACCCAAAATCCTGGCACCACCCACCCGACTTCCTCTTATACACGCCTATGTTAGACGATCTCAATATTTTACGTTTATATCGTTTATAGTAGTTTATTTAAATAGTGTAGTACTCGCATAAACAAAAGACAATTAAGCAAGCAATTTAAAGATTTTTGTTGATTTTTTGTTCCAGATAGCTGGTACAGCTCATCAGCCAGTGTTCGGGTTTATATACAATGATTTTTTAGACGACTTAGGCGTTGGAACCGGAGCTGTCACTGTAGTATATGGAGTGTTTCAAGTTACACTCGCAATCGCTGGTAAGCATTGCATTAAATTATTGTTTTAAATAAATCTTCTTTAACGGGGAATTTATTATATTACACATAATATGAGTGAGTATTACAGACTGCCACACCATTGACAGATTACGTATGTCTTTAAATGTGGACGTCTTTGACGAAACTTGGTATTTATATAATACAGCGGTTAAAAATAAATATATTCAAATTATTCCAGTGATGTATTTATTAAAACCGAAACCTAACAATAAAATATACAGTAATTAAAATTAACTGTAGTTCTCTCAACCTACATAATAATAATAAAAAAAAATTAAGAATAAATAAAAAGAAAATTAAAATAAATTCAAAACGTAAACAAAAAATAAATTTCTTGTTTTGGTGTATTTATTATTACTTCCGCTTTGTTTATTGGAAAGTATATTAAATGATAATCAAACAGATTTTAAAACATTTACCAACTCGATTTATTAAGAGGATTAGCATAGGATTTGAAAGGATAAACACACTGTAACAAACAAGACTTAGTGTTATTCCAGCATACTATAAAATTCTGTGTAGGACCAGATATAATTTTGCGTCTCGCTAATTCAATTGATATTAGCAAGTAGATTTACGTTTAGGTACCTTAAACACGAATAAAACGCAATATTGAATTGTAATAATTATTTTCATAAAACGAATTATTTTTGTACCCTGTCTTCTAGGAACCAAAATCGACATACGAAAACTTGACCAAGCTAATCCGCGATTAATACCTACGATTATATCCCATGTATTAATTAGAATTAGTTATAGGCAAGTATTGACTATAATAAAAAAATATCATGACATATTGCTTCTTATTTTATTGGGTACAAATTTCATAAATAGTGAAAACGAGTCAAAACACAACAGAAATACTGGATATATATAATAAGATGAGATGTTTGAAGATTCGGCGAAAATTTGAATGTAAAACTCTGTCCGAATGAATAAAATTAATATAAATATAAACTTAATGATAATTGTATTCTACATATAAATTTATTTACTCCATTTTAATTCGGTCAATTCAATTGTGTTTCTATTGTTAATGCGTTGATTTCATAGTTATATTTAACATTATAATAAAAACTGTAATTTTGTATTATATTCTGATGCATTAATTATCGTATAGAGATGTGGTAATTCAGTTTTTATATGTGTAAACTGTTTAATTGTTTTCACACGGCGGATTATATAAAAATCTTGCCAATTACTGGAATACATACTTCGGGATAATAAATGCTAATTGAATTTTAATTTAAATTTAGAGTTTGTATTAAGAATATAAATGTTATTCGGTCATTGTTAAGATTATAATTTCTCATTCATTGTTTTGCAGGTTTTTCAGCTAATATAGCGCTTAAAAAATTATCATTAAGACAAGTCGGACTGATTGGAGCATTTATATACACGTTAGCATCGTTTCTAGCAATATTTGTGGTTTCCACAACGCAATTAATTATAACAAATGGATTCCTTCAAGGTCTTGGCATGGGCCTGCTCATTCCGGTAGCATATACGAGCTTTAACAGTTACTTTACAAGGAAAAAAGTGCTTTATTTAAGTCTCTGTAAGGCCTCAATTGGATTTATAACAATGTTGTATCCACTATTTATGAAAATGACTATAACAGAATATGGGTTTCGAGGCACGTTAGCCATATTATGCGCGATATCGGCGCACAGTATTCTAGGAGCTTTAGTGATGCATCCGGTACAATGGCATATGGTTAAACAAACTAAGTCTTGTGAACAAATTGTTTGTAAGTATCAATATTTCTGTAGTAACTAAAAATCAGTTACAGTTACAATTACAATATAAAAAAATATTATTAAATTTTAATTATTTCATCAATAATGATTACAAATTTTACTTCTTTTAATTTAAACATATAATTTAATATTGTAGTTTATCTAACTATAAGAATTATAAGTATGTATAGATTGCGTAGAACATAATTTCTTAACTTAAATTACATTTAATACATTGCGTAACATGTTATACATAAATAAAATAAATCAGTGGCGCTACAACCTCTTTAGGCCTCAGATTTCTGAATCTGTTTCATGATCATTTGTTTAAAATCTAATAGGCAAGTAGGTGATCAGCCTCCAGTAGGTACCTGACACAAGCAGTCGACTTTTTGGGTATAATATATGTCGGTTTCCTCACGATGTTTTCCTTTACCGCTCGAGCAAATGTTAAATGCGCACATAGAAAAAAGTCCATTGGGGCACAGGCGGGGATCGAACGTTCGACCTCAGGTATGAGCGTCGCACGCTAACGCCACTAGGCCAACACTGCTCAACATGTTATACATAGTTCTCTATAAAATTATTTAACTCTATAAATAATGATTTAATAATCAATTTTGAATTAATATCATCATTAATTTTGAACTTCTAATTTGGTTTTTAGTGATCCCACCGACGCCTGCCATCGGAAACGACAAAGGCTTTGACTTCACAAAAAATGTTAATGAGAGCGAAGATTCCAGATCTGTTGGGAATTTGTATATAAAACGAGACTTGGAAGACCCTCACAAAGGATCGGGTCTCCTTTTTTATCCCAAAATTAACCAACTCAAGGAGATTAAGCATTCCAGTTGTTTTGATACCTGCAGATGGCAAGACTGATTCCAAATTTAAATCTAGTGACAATGTATATTTAGAGAACTTATATAAAGCTGCGTCGGTATCGAGTCTAGGCAATTTTGGTAATCTAGTGGAGCCTATGCCTATTATTAAAAACAAGGAGGGAAAATGGTAAAGATTTTGATGTAACAATACTATTTAATCGTTTGTATGCTTTTATTTTAAGTACCGAAAATAGTAAAGTAGGCAACATCAATACGACTCTCAGATAGTAAATTTTTAAAAATATACACTTGCCAAGCAACGTGTTCTTAATATTATTTAACAAGGTGTCATTAAGATATTTAAAGGAATATTGTTTGTTTTAAAAATCAAATCAAAACATATATGTGCATAAACATTAATAATATATTTACAAACTAGTATTTATTAGCTTTGCCTGCGTTTATCGTATTTATTAATCTATACTAATATTTTAAATATATATTTTAGAGGCAAGAATAAACTTGAAAATTTGATCGAATCCAAAAATTATTACACCATTATTCTTGAGTAACATAGGTTATATATATATACTTAATAAAAAATGTTGTGCGAAGCCGGGACTGCCCGCTTGTATAGACTATAAATGTAGAACGTAGTAATAATTTTTGAATGGAATTTTTTAAAATTGGCTATGAAGGCTACGTTAGAAAGGTCATCACCACGCTTCATTAATGTTTTCTTGTAAGTATAATATAAGAATGTTCATTGTATGGTTTTTGTTTTAGGCAGACGGTTGCTGAGTTTCTAGATCTGACACTTCTCAAAGATCTAATATTTGATAATATTGTATTTGGAATGGCGCTCGCATTTTTTGCAGACTTAACATTCTTTACATTAGAACCACTTTTTTTGGATAAAAACAGTCTGTCTAAGGTAAGCTACCAAAAAAATTATATACAAATACACATATTAACAAACACTTGTTACGTAATAATTTATAATGTTGTGTATTTAAAGGAGAATAACGATTTATTTTGTCCACCTATTTAAATTAGGTAACATTACAGTTAAGTTATTAACTAACCGCGAGTTGCAAAATATTATGAAATACGTTACATAATATTTTGTAACCATAATAAGAATATGTTACACGTTAATCGACCGTTAAGTACTAATTAAATAGCTACTCGTACGTATATTTGTATCTTGCTTTTATTTTAATTCAATAATAATCGGATTTTGTGAATAGTACACAAGGCTCTATAAGATTTGTTACTAGCCGAAACTGGTTTATGGTTATACAATCGTGCGTAAACTAAAAATAGTAAAAATTATCCGTTAATTAGTATGTATGCTATATGACCTTTTATTAGACCAATACTTGGATGTTTTATATTTTATTAAATTCATAAGATTCTAAGATGAATAAGTAATATCATTAAAAAGTAGATTTTTTTATAAAATAAATATTTTGAAATATCATAGTAGCGTAAATTAAACGTAGGTATACAGCTTTCAAGCGGTTTGATGCTGTTATTCGTCAATAGTTCTAAGCACGTGTTACACCGTATGTGTATGAACGATTCTTGTTTGGAAGCCGGTATATTCCGGACAATCGACTTTTGAAACTGTAAATATTTTTTGTTGAATTATGTCAATTACTTTGGAGAGCTATGTGGTTGTTTTAAAAACAGACAGCATATCAATTTCGAACAAACTTTCTAGTAGAAAAAAACATCGCTCTTAAATATGTAGTCAAATGCACTTCATGCAATAGGTACTGTATGAAGTAATGAATACTATTTCCGATCGTCTATTTATTAAATTATTTAGTATAAACTTATTTGCAATATTTACATCTTGTCTTTTGAATATTTGATTAGTTTTATTTTACAAATTGAAGGATATAGCTCTTCTAATATTATAATAATAGTTGCGTTCATAAATATACGAAATATTTTTATAGTTTAAGAATTTCCATAAACTAGATTCAGTTTTTTTATAGTAAATAATTTAAATATCCATTAACATTTATTATTATTATTGCAATGATATTATTATTTTTATGCTGATGATTAAAGTTAATAAATCACAGCATAAATAGACAGCGGGTCAATAATTATTTTATTTCAATTATTTATTTACAAAAAAACACTTAAAACAACAAACAAACAAAAATCACGGACTCTAGGTACTTTCTATATGCGTTATTAACATAATCCCATACGGTCTAACCCATAACATCGCAAGGCAACCGCCAAGTCTTGAGATCTGTATGTATGTGATATTGTTGGAAAGGGATTATACAGGTTGTCTCAAAAGGAAGTTCATATTAAGTGGATCGATTAAAAAAAAGTCGTGTATCAAAAAAGTGTTTAATCATTATAAAATTACACATTTCGGGAATTTATTTCTTAAAAATAATACCGTCCAAATGTAGACCCTCGCGTTCGCGGAACTCATTTAATCGAACAATAAAATTACTTATGACGGCTCGGCAGGCGGACTCAGTGATGGCTGCCATTTCTATGCTATATTCATTCTATAATTGCGCCAGAGAAGTCGGCTTATTGGCATAGACTTTAGTTTTAAGATAACCCCATAAGAAAAAATCCATAGAGGTTAAATCATGACTGCGTTGAGGCCAATTTATGTCTCCTCTCCTGGAGATCAATTTGCCTCAGAAAATTTCACGAACTCGTGGCAGAGACGTATTGGACGTGTGTGACGTTGCTCCGTCCTGCAGGAACCATGTTTTTTGGTTATAGTCAGGAAGGTTTTGAAGTTCAGGCACTAAGAAGTCGTCTAACATTTTCACATAACGCTAAATAAATAAATGTAAACTTTCTTTTGATAAACCTGTTATTTGAGAATGATGATCTATTTATGCTTCCAAACACGTGTGCGTTTTGTAAGTCTGTGTATGTTTGCCCACAGAAACTATATCATATCGGGATGTTCATATATTCCAGCTTAGGGACTGTTCCCTAAGCTTATTGATTGCACTTATTTCTATTCTCTTTAAATCTAAACAATCGCAATCATTTACTATTAATAAATCAAATAAACTCTGAAGAAGAACCAAAAAACTTTAAGTTTAAATTATCAATAATAAATTCTTCAAGTAATTTTAACGTAGATGTCTGGTTTATATATGACTTCTTATATATACTATATTTACCTATATATAATAGAGAGTTAGCTAGTAACACGCCCAATGGAACCCAAAATATTGCGTAACATTTACTTTTGAATGAGTAATGACCACGAATGTATAACCAGTATTTGATTAACATAGGAGCCAGTTACAACTAGATATTTCATTGCTTTAGGCGACTTTTTATCGCAAATATTAGTTATGCAAAATAGTAAAAAACTAGACTTAACAGATACGAAATCCACAAAATATTTTAAGAATGTTTACTACTCTTTTTATCTTTATACAAATTTTAATGAGATAGTCGTTTGTACACGACACGATAAGACTTATATTTTTTTAGATTTATCTGTAGTTTTGAACAACCATAATATTTTGTATAATATCGTAGCAAAGTCAAAAACTCTCTTCGTTCTATCGAGCTAAATCGGGCGGACATAGTATTGACTGGTGTCAAATTATGTAAAATACAATAGTTTTCCTTGTGCTGACCTTATTCAAACCAGTCTGTTTATCCAATAACCCAATAATAACTATAGATTTCGAATATAATAATTAAAGTCATTTTTTAAACATTCAGGTTTAAACACAAATTTAATTTAACCTTTTTATGCGATAATATCAAGGATATCATTTCAGGATTTTATTTAATACAGTTTTGTTGATTATAATCTTTGTTATCTGATGTTGAAGTAATAGTGTACTTTTACTTTAACATTTTTATGCGATAATATCAAGGATATCATTTCAGGATTTTATTGAAAAAGGTAAAAAAATACAGTTTTGATGGTAATAATCTTTGTTATCTGATGTTGAAGCAATAGTGTACGTTTATTGGACAAACATTACATATTAATTGTAAAAAAGTAGAAGGTACATTTAAAAATTAAAATAAATATAATTTGTTCTTTAAAACTAAATAGGTCCTATTTATTACATTTGTCTCTATCAGACAACGGCTTTTGTAAAGCATTCGACACGTCGATTTGTGTATGTACTTAATTCGGGATTATATCCGTTAAAGAAGCTGTATTAATGTGAAGATGATTTAATTAAAATCATACATTCACCGTTTATAATAATTATATAAATCGAAAAATATTAGAGATATTTGTTAACCGTATAATAATTATTTCATTCTCATAACTACTCTGTTGAAAGCAAACGTCTTAGAGTATTTATTTAAAAGCAACTATTAATTTCGTTGCTTTGTTTAATACGAATTTCACAGCGTGATACACATTGAATAATGCAACAATGTATACAATTAGGCTTTAAGGATATTATTTGATATTTCTAATATTTTGTTGATGTCCCAGACTCTGTTCAGATCTCATGGTGTGTTGTAAAAAACTTGATATTTCTTTGTCTACAGACAGAAATAGCAAATATTATTGCAGTAGGAGGTGCTACTGATATGCTGGCCAGGTTGCTCCTCGGGGTATCAGGACAATTTTTTAGAATGAATAGTCGATATATGTTCTATTCTGGTGCCTTATTCTCAGCTTTATTTAGGCTAGGTAAGTACTTATAAGTTACCAACTAATATTGCGCTCCTTCAAAAAATATCTTAGCAACAAAAATTTATTTTACTTTTCTACTCACTAATTTGGTTCTTTTAGTTCTAGTCAACTATACAACATACACTCCGCTGTTAATATTAACTGGAATATTGGGTGCACTACGGTCACTGGTTCACATAGCTCAACCAATAGTTATGGCAGAGCACGTCCCCATCGAGCGGTATCCTCCGGCATATGGACTATACATGTTACTGGCTGGCGGTATCAGCTTGAGCGTCGGACCAATGATTGGTATGTTTCTAGTTTAAGTGTGCATGCCTTTGGTTGATGTTAGAATGTATCTACTAAAGGAGGAAAGGAAACTCTAAAGATGGGTTCGATTCCCGGCAAAATAAAGCCAAACTGACTTTATTTAAATGAAACAGGCGCACAGCCCGGGTATGGTTCATGATATATAGTGATGTAGTTTCCTCGTGCAGACATAAAGCTTAAACGTTAGATATAGTTCTGATTGCTAAACATAAATAGCATTTCGGAAAGAAAAATTACTTTCACACAAGGATAGAGTATATTTTATCATAAATCACGCAGAGCCATTAATGGACAACAGTTGATGAAATTACTATTTCCTTTCTTGGCACGCAACAGTCACGCTGTTAGCTTTCATAGTAAAAAAAAAACGTCTGAGATAATAAGGCTTAGGGTCGATGTAAAGAAACACTATCTTATATTATCTCGCATGCACAAAGATTTCAATGCACAGAATGTTATTTCTATTATTAACAAATTTATTTAATATCAGTTTATCCTTCAAGTACTTAAATATTTTAACGGAAGCATTAGACATTGAGTTGTGGTTAGTGTTTACGGAAGCAGACCCTTAGAATTTTCAATATAATATTTTAAGAACGTAATCCAAGGTGATTTAAATGCGTCATAAATCGTTCAAGTTATACGGAATACGTTTTAAGCCTTATATTCCAATAGTTTATGTTCGGGGTCCGGAAAACCTATGGCACTTGGCTCCATGTGAGAAACCAAACCTAAGTTATACGTCATGATGGATTACAAAGGTTAGGAAGTAGTTAAGTTAGCCTAAAATATATTTTTATAAACCGTAACAAAAGAAAACCTTTCGCCTTTACAATATAAGTTAGGAAAACGACAGTAGCCAAACTCCAAATGTTGATTAAATACTACCTACTTAATAGCTAATATTATTTTAGGGAAACTTTCAAAGCGTTGCGAAAGTTAGAAACGTTTCATGAACTTCTTTATTAATATTTGAAGGGTCCTACTTTGAAATGAGCTCCGATACTCATAAACACGAAATATTTGTTCAAAAACTGTCTTACTTGGATTACTAATATCTTCGACAATTTCGTCGCGCACGCTCCAATTTATTCATTTTTAAAATCTTCAGTTTTGAAGTTTTCTACGCTAAAATAGTAATGTAGTGAATTCATAGATTTTTTACATTTTTAACCACCTGTTTATCAGTATCTAAATCAGGCTCTCTGAGCCCTAAACATAATAATGTAACATTAGACAACTTACATCACTAAACTAGACATACAAAGTAGGAGTTTCTACCGCAAACTCGTACAAGACCATTTCATAACGAAACTGTAACCTAAAGCCATATTGAATTTAAACATTATACCGTTAAATGATACAAATTCTCATTCGATTATTATCTTGTAATAATAGTTGATAAATTATACTAATCGAGCCTACTCTCAAACCACAACCGCATATCAGTATTTCAAATATCGAATATCCAAACTTTTCCTTTCTAGGTTTTATCCGAGATTATACCGGGAGCTATCGAGTTGCCTTCATAATGTTAGCGATATGCAACTTCTGTTGTGTCGTGCCATGGACCATTGAAGGTGTAATACGGTTTTTGAAGAGAAGAAAGACATTACAAGCGACTAATCGGTAGTAAGTCTGAACTGTAAAAGTTTTTTTTGTTCCTAAGTTTTTTGTTACGTATGGAGGGATACGTTTGCTACTGGAAGATATTGTCTTCTAAATCATTACTGGAACAGTAGTAGTACAATTATTATGATAAGTGCAATTATGAGTGACTAATTTGTAGACGGAAAAAGTACTATTGTTATTTGTCCTATACACTTGTAAGATCGTATTTGATTTTTAGTACATCTTGCACATGTAATTTTCTTCATATGCTGAGATACTACACTGTCTCAATACTGAATACCCTAGCTAATTGATTTTAAAGGACAAATTATTGTATTAATGTGACATCAGTTACTGCCGAACTGTATATAGAATCGTTATAGAATGCATACGCCTGATAAATATAATGTTTCAAAAAGTGTGAAATAGTAAAATTGCTCTTTATTACGAATATAAAATCCCTTGTTAGTAATTAATCATATAAGTTAAAGGTAATCTAAAATAGTACCATTTTTTAACAAAAGATATTTAACACTCTTAATAAAATATTAGGACGATTTATAAAATGTAAATATCGAATAAGTTATTTTAGAAGATATCAAAATTAACCAATAGTTAATATTTAAAAATTGCGAGGAATGTAAATAATGAAAAATGACATATTACGTCACTCGTAAAATCTTATACATATATGCATTTACAATTTGTTATCTCGCATAACTCTCATGTTTGCCTATGTTCGTTTACTCTTTTGTAATTTACTGTCTATTTTTATAATATGCCATGTTTTATAATTATGCCAATCGTAATAAAAATAACTAGAAATAAAATTGGACACTTAATATACATTAAGTAATATAAGAAGGTTCAGATTTCCTATTATGAAATGATTCATTTTGAGTAATAGTATTTAGTACAATACTGCCAAAAAACCAATGAACGCGTAAAATATGTGTATATAACTGCAAAAGAACACATTGCTATTAATATGATAACCAAATAAAAATATCTTAGTTTCATGTAACGTACGTATATATGTGCTATTCTAATATTTTAATCAAGAATTTAAGCCAAAAAAAATGCTGCCTATATTGAACTTAATAAAAATGAATAATTCATTTTTAATAAAAATTCTTTTAAAATGTTAAGCTATCACTTACTATGTATAATTCAGTAATTTATATAAAGTATAGTGCTTGGTAGATAAAAGCTATAATATTTTAAATGTGATTTTTAATTATATAAATCAAAATACATATCATTTTATAATACTCACGGTCCACAGAGTATTAATGGTACAATATTAGTATAGAAACATAAAACGCTTTAAATTGTTTTTAAGGTTTATATTATTAAATCCTATGAATAAAGATTTTTAATAAACTATGTTTTATTTAAACGAAACCCACAAAATACATCTCAACGGGAAACCACTAGAATATGTCGACAGTTACATTTATTTGGGGAAACAAGTTTCGTTCCAAGACACAAATATAGATAAGAAAGTTGATCGACGCCTAGAAATGGGCTGGACAAATTTTTGGTATCTGAAAGAAATCGTGAAGGAATGAATGAAACAAAAATTAAATTTTTGTTTGGATCTCCATACATTCAAACAAAATAGTAACGGACACCTCGTTCTTTTCATCTTGACTTATGGATGTCGAACGTGGACATAACGTACGCTCAAGTGCTTGATCTATCTATCTCTCTAAAATCTAAACTAGCAACATGACAAAAATCGATGGAGAGAAGCCTACATATTTAATAAAAGTGCCGAAGGTCAGAAGCGAGTAAATAAGCCAGGAAACAAAAATATCGGATGCACTAAAAGTAAAAGTCTTGGCCAGGACGATATCCAGACAACAGAAGTATAGTGACGAAAGCGGTAAACGGCGAATAGGTAGGCCAAACAGTTCTGGTCAGATGATATTATAGCTGTAACAAGTAAGCAATGGATGAAAGTGTCGAAAAACATAGATGAATGGCATACGCTCGAGAAGGCCCATAGCTTTTTAACACCAGGTGCTCTGCTAAAAATTTCCGAGTACCGAGAAACACCACATAGTTATTATTATGACTCAGCAATTTATTCTATATTTTACTCGTAGAATCAAATACATTGCTAGATATTTACAATTAATATTCCTAGGTCTCTAAATAATTAATTTTTCTTCTTTAGTACTTTCTCTTCCTTTAAATGATTCTTTATATTTAAATGAATTTAAAGTAAGTCTCAGTTTGTTAAGCTTGTTTTTTTAAGATTTTAATCATAATTGGTAATTTTTTTTTTAATACAGGCACGATATTTAAATGAAAGCAGCAAGCTAACGTTTTCGTGGAAATGTTTTAATTCCAGTTGAGGATATTCCAAATATATTTCCTTTTTATATATTATACTTAGCTTTTTGAACTTTATCATTAAAGGTGCTATCAGAAAAATAAATCCCTCTCGCAATAATAATATCACATACATTTCCACCGACTCAAAAACTTAGTTATGTACGACTGACACGAAAAGAATGCCTGCAGTTCTAGATAACATCGTCACGGACGGACAAAGAACGTTTATCGTAATCACAATACTCGAGTATAATGTTACTCAGCCATTTGGTTTAGTTATCTGGGAGCGACCATACTAACGTAGTCGTTCCATAGCACGATGCAATCTAAAAATACACGCGTTGAAAACAAAAATATGTCTGACAAAGACACGTGGGGCTACGCCGTTTGTTTTGGTACTATAATAACATTCGTAAGTGTATATTATTATTATTATCAGTTGGTCCACATATACATTTTTACAAAATCTAATGTATACAAGCAGTCTGTTGTTAATTTTTCTATAAATTCTGACACATTAAACTATATTTCATTTCATATCAGAGATAATCTTATAATCTATGAGATGTCAAAAATCTTGTAATAAATCCATCCAAACTTATTATGATTACATTTTTTTTTGTATTGTATAAGATATGTGTTAACATAAAGAATTATTCTTGCACCATTATTTATGCATGTGGCGTGGGAACTATACATTTATCCTTAATTTTAGATCGCTGGACTAGGCCACATTAACTCATTCGGTCTTATTTTCAAAGATTTTATTGAAGAAACAAATTCTTCAGCCAAATCTTTAACAACTGCTCATGGAGTGTTTGCTATAATGCTTGCAATTGGAGGTAATTTTACTATTGATATAATTAATATTGCTTAACTTGTCTTTTATGCTATACTTTATAAAAAAACTACGCTTACAAGAGTACAAAAGAGATGCCAAAAATAAAAATCTGTGTATTTTAGGAATAATTATTATTTATTATGAATTTTTATTAGGATTGGTAAGTGATTGTATGTGTATTATGTTCCAGGTTTACTTTTAAACGTCCTCTATAAGAAATATCCAATGAGATACGGAGGATTTATTGGTGCCATCTTATTCATACTCGGTGCTTCTTCGACAATATTCATACAAGATTCAAGCCAGTTATCATTAACCTTTGGTGTACTTCAAGGGATTGGATTTGGCATGATGGTATCAGTGTGCTATTCTACTTTAAACTACTATTTTGTTACGAAAAGGACAACTGTAATGAGTTCGATAAAGGCTTTGCAGGGAGTTATTATAATGTGGTATCCCCAGCTGTTAAAGATAATATTATATGTTTATGGATTTAGAGGGACTTTGTTGATACTAACAGGAGTATCATTACACATGATTCCAGGAATGCTAACTATGGTAACTGAAACAGAGAGCTCAAAGAACAAAAACCTAGCAAGTATTCCGTTTATTTAAGAATATTACGAATTCTGAATGTTGAATATGCGTTAACTATATTTTTTTTGTAGAGGACAGAGATTTAGAAATATCTAACAAAGCTGAAACTGAAGATCTATTGGTGAAAAGAGAGAAAGACGGATTGGAGACGATTAATAAATTCAACCAAGTAATGTACGTAGTCATTGTATCACTCAACAACATTTTATTCAAATGTAAAACAAAGACAACGATATAAACATTTTACTTAAATTTAATATTCTATTCCAAGCTTCGTGAAATCATAAAACATAAACTAAACCTATTGTTAATTTTTATTTTATTTATTCATGTTTTCAGCTGTGAGATATTAAACGTCTTAAACGTCAAAGTTCTAAAGGACCTCGTTTACTGTAACATTTGTTTGGGACAAAGTTTCGTTAACTTTTCCGATCTGACTTTCTTTATATTTCAACCGATGCTCTTGTTTCAATATGGTTTTGATAAGGTTAGTATCTGCGTCTATTATCCTTATTTCGTTGTTCAGTGGCAACGTTGTTACAATTCTCATACTCAATTCGAAATATTATATATTTTATTTTTAAAACAACAAATTCTCGAACAGTTTAAAAAAACCGATGATGATTAAGGGTTGATATAAAATCATTAAAATTTCAGAGCGATGTAGCAACATGCATTTCAATAGGAGCAGGTGCTGACGTCACGGCAAGATTTGCATTGGCCTTTTTTAGTGGTCTATATCCAGTCAACACAAGAAACTTGTACTACGTGGCGACAGTTTTCACTTTCGTTGCTAGAATTGGTAAATATTTCAAATTGTTTTCTATAACTATTAGTTTGTTATTATCTCATACTGAAAAGCGAAATATAAAAATATTTTATATTGGTAGCAATATTAAAGGGAAATATTGTATGTTTGTATGTTAGAGGGTCTGATTTTACTTTCTCGCACATCATCTCTTGCCTATGTTTTTGAACTTAATATGATATTCTGCATAATATGACTTTCAATTTTAGTTATATTGCAAGTTACACAATTCGTATGGGTCGCAATTATTACTGGCATTCTTGGAATATTAAGAGCATTTCTGCACGTTTCCAGCCCTCTTGTAATTTCGAACCATGTCTCAAGACAGGAGTTTCCTGGAGCCTACGCATTGTTTATGCTCACAGCTGGTGCTATTAACCTACTTTTATCACCATTTGTAGGTACGTTCATAAGTTTATAATTATTTTATGTGCTTAGAAATTAGATTAGTTTTACTTACCTACCTTTCGTCGAGGAAGCAAGACCACAAAATTGATATTTGCTCGCTTATCGCTAGGTCAATAAAATTTCGTGGAAAAATATAAAAACTAGTTATATGTATATTACATTTTTCTAATATATGTATATCAATACGAAAGCTCTAGACCAAGCGATAAAGCCACAAACCAACTTTTGCGCTAATAACATTTATGATAAAAAGTATGGAGTCTGCAAGCGAGCTACCAAAAATAGAAGAAAATATAACTTTAACAATTTTGACGCGCGATCATTTTTTATAGAAATAAACAGATCAATTATTCAACGTAGCGTCTTTCTAAGAAACTCAAGCTGGCACTGTGATAAATTGCTGCAATATCGGCTTTAGAGAAAAAACTTGGCAATTATGCTGTATCACAAAAAAGTAATATGACTGAAACAGTCAGATCCGATTGTGGTTTTCTAGTTTCTCTTAGTCAAAAAGTAAACGTAGTATAAAATTTGTATTTAAAAACTAGACTTTCATATAATTAATGTATTTTTTTTTAAGGTGCGCTGAAGGACTACTATAATAGCTACATCCCATCGTTTATCGCTTTATGTTTATGTTGTTTACCGTGTATAATACTTTGGCCCTTAGAATACATTTTTTTAAAGAAAATAGTCAATGCAGATTGAATTCAATTCATACATACTTTCGTAAGTACAAGTAAATATTAGAATGGTTATTATAATAAATCAAACACTGTTAAATAATAATGAGAAGTTCTTGCTAAGTAAATACGGGCGATATTTACTAAGCAAAACGTTCTATTTTCTTGACTGTTTAATAGTTTGTGACTATCATTCGCATGTAGACTCTGAGCTACATTTAAATTATGCTCAAGACTGATAGACCTAATACTATGAAATATAAGACGTTCACATCTAATGAAAGTATATGATGGTCCGCAAATCCATCTAAAGGTTTCGGGTGTGTATTTGCTTGTTCACTTATATTTGATGCGTTATAGCTATATAAATATTATCTTATTGGCTAAATCAAACCATTAATGAAAATGTGTTTATTCATAATAAGATATGCATTACGGTGTATAAGATTTGGGAAATCTTTTAGGTAAAAAATACCTGTGTCAAGGCTCCCAGTTGTTCCGTAACAAACTTAATGCTGAATTCCATAATACATTTATTTTTTAAATTACAATTTTGATTTTTTTTAAACTGATTATATCAATTTCTTATCCATCATCATCAGGTGCATATGAGTGAATGAGTGAGTTGAATGTGTATGTTAAGTAAATGTTCATGTTTAATCTCACTAGCATCTCCAACTCTGCATAAGGTTTGATCAGAAGTCAGTTCCTTAACAATTTCTAAATGTGGACTGTGAGCGGGTAGCCGTTAAGCAGCCTACTTAATTTATTGTAGATGTAGTCAGTCTGCATATTGCGTCTGGCGATGTCAGTCGTCACCCACGACAACATCTTCATTATATATATAGCATGTGATATGTAAATTCTTGTAATTATTACAATTGACTATACGTGTCGAAAAGATTTTAAAATGTTGGTTAATTTTCTTAATCTATCAGTCATGAACTTTATATGGGGATACCTCATACCACATTTAAGTCACTCGTCTATATGAATGCCTAAATATTTGTTGGAGGTAACTTTTGTCATTGACGGATATGAGCAGTTACTGTCTCTCTGCATATCGCAATTATGTATTTAACATCTTGTGGTGGTTGAGTCCGATTAGAAATTCTAACATAGTTGGTTTTCTTTTTATAAGGACAGACAGAAGGTTGATTTCAAGCCATTAAGCTGCATAGGAAAATATTTGCCTGTGATTAAATTTTAGGTTGCTTTACGCATTAATGTATATTAAAAATAATGTCGGACCCAGTATCCTTCCTTGCGGAACACCACACGTAATTTGCTTTTCATCACTAACATATTCTCCTATTTTCACTCTCTATCTTGCAATGTAATCACAAAATAGCTTTAGGGGAATGTCTCTAATACCCATTCCATTTTACGTAAGAATGGAGAAATACAGGCAGTTTCGAAGGCTTTTCTTAAATATAGAAATGTACGTAGGCAGTTTTTTCCCTTATCTAGGTTTGCTATTATTAAAGACGTCAATTGAGACATGGATTTTTCCCCCGGAGCCCTGTCTGAGTTAAGGTTTAATTATAGAGCAACCTCTAGAGGGTCAGTTCAAAAAATAATAAAGTAGTGCAAGCTGGACATTAGTGCAGGAGATTAGCTAGAGCTGATATGGAGGGGCGGGACGGACTTTGTTGAGTTGCCTGATACTGGCTTTTTATATTTAATATTATATTTAATAGTATTTATATTTAAAAGTTTGTCAATATTATATTTTTTTTGATTCATTCATGAGTTATGTAATAGTTAATAGTTAGAAACGCTAACCGAATGTTAGCAATCATCGCACACTTGAAGCCAAAATGAGCCGTATAGTTTTTCCCACACTCATAAATTGTAATATAACATTCTCGTTTCTGATACTGTTCAATAGGACAACTACAAATACATATATTTTTTATACGTAATAGAAGTGTTACTTAGATTTAAGGACCCTTAAATAAGTCAAGTTAGTTTTTTGTTAATCCAGAGACGCCACCCCACTACCCTTAATTTTAAATAAGTTTATAAAATCATGTTTTACCGATTAAAGCCAGCTGACACCTTCAGACAAAGAGTTTCATTTATTTGAACATCCCTCCAACAACCGCCACCGAACTTCTCATGTAATAATTTAATATTTTTTCATAACTGTTTTGGGTGATTAACTGAATTATTATATTGTGATATTTCATATAATCGTTTTAGTTTTTTTTATTAAGTTGTTAAAAAACTTTTATAAGTAATAAACCATTAACCAATTAAGGTTTTATCCCTATTTATTTCCTTCTAGAACTCAGATCGCAATTAGTATTTAAAGCAAGCAAGATTTTAGATAAACATATTTTATTAACCTGCAGTGACAGTTTTGCGATAATG